TATTTCAAGCTACAGTAAATCCTGATCGAATCCGAAACTGTAGGATCTTGCAGCTGGAATTTTCCATTTTGGTTAATTCCTAACAAACTTGAACATGAGCAATATTTCTATATTTAATAATCTTTATATACAATTTTGCTAGGGACACCTGTGATGTAGTTGGGGATGCGTTATGTTATGCCGATTGAATTGGATGTTAGGACACTAATGAAGTGTTGCATACGAGGATTTGGACAGATTCGGACAGACGTGAGGGGATCGGAATGTCATCTCGCCGATTAAGAAACTGAACAAAATTTTATGGTTTAGTGCATTTTAACGCACAATCTCTAGCATAAATATTGATATATTTGTATTTATTTATCAGAAAGATGACTAAAAGAAGCCTATTCTTTGTCTATATAAATACAGAGGATTGTGGAGAGGACTTATATAGGCAGTGCCTGCTGTCCAATCCAGTTATGTTTAATCATAATAAAATATTGTTTAAATAAATAAAAAAAAAAACAGAGGAAATAGGTGCATCCAGAAATCTGTCTTAACATGAAACAAAGTAGCTGTGTGTGAATGTTCCAGGTCTATTAAAAAGAGACATGAATACTCGACAAGTCAATCTCAAAAGAAAAAAAATCGAAGAACTGATAGTCAGGAAGACATGATGGTGATAGACAGATACTTCACGCCAGGGATAGTGTGAGGAGAAGAATATTTTAATAGAGGAAAGAATTTGGAAATTATTGAATAATACAAGTACATGGCTTTTTTCTGGCTTTGGTTTTCTTTTCTTTACTTAGCAAAAGAACAGAAAATACAATTATCTCATTAAATCTATGGAAAAAGTACTTTTATTGCAATTTCTACCCATTTTGTGTGTGGAATTTTTTAATGGAATTGAATGCTTTAATCGTACATAGATTCCAGTCGACTTCTGTGATTGTCCTCCACTTTTTAGTCATATTAATATATGAAAGCCGAAATACGCATGGGTCGGTAAAAAATTTCAATTGTTATGTAAATCTCCTAATATACAATACATGTATTCAACGTTTAAAAAAAAAGGGGGGGGGGTGTCAATCTACATGTATAGCAGGAAAAAAATGCTAATATATGAAATCAACAATGTATGAAAATATAAATGAATCTGTTGAAAGCATGTTGATTATTTAAAAAAGTAAACAAATGATAGGAAACCAAATACAGTTACATACACGTACCAGCGTTAGTATTTTGAATATTATATTACATGTATATACACATATCAGCGTTACTATTGTGAATATTAAGTTACATACACGTACCAGCGTTACTATTTTGAATATTATGTCACATGTATATACACGTACCAGCGTTAATATTGTGAATAGTAAGTTACATACACGTACCAGCGTTACTATTTTGAATATTATGTTACATGTACTGTATATACACGTATCAGCGTTTCTATTGTGAATATTCAGTTACAGACACGTACCAGCGTTGCTATTGTAAATATTAATTTCAGTGAGATCAACTGAAATTTGACCAAAGTTTCCTCCTACGAACAGAGGAATATACACTCTAGTTCACAATTTCACCTTTTGTCAGTTAATGGCCAATAATACGATGGATACGCTGAGTTAATTCAATTCAAAATGTCAGATGTCGTTGAACTGTATACTCTTTTCAACCTCATAATGCCACGGTTATTTTCATACTTGTCATTCTCATGCTTGAGTTGTAAGCAAATGAGCTTTTTCCTTGCAAATTTATTTTTAAAAAATATTTGAATGTAGCTTTTTCTTTCAAAAATATAATTGCATGATAGTCATCTTCAGTCAGATGACATGACAATGTTATGTTCTGAGACGTCGTTGTTCTTTTACAAAAATATCGTATATATTTTGAAAGTATTTCTCCTTCCAACTTGACTATGAAAAAATATTTATACGTAGTCAAAGATTAATAAAATCGCATACACACTTTCATAATCCAAGGACTTTTAACTTTTATAATATCACAGAAAATATTATATTTCAAAATAAAATGGATGGTGATAAGAATCTTTTTTATTCTCATGTTATCTAGAAAACATATACTTACTACCAAAACAAACTTATAGTCAACGATTAACAAAATCGCATACACACTCTCGTATATCCGAAAGACTCTTCACTTTTATAATATCAGAAAAATATATTTCAAAATGAAATGAATATAAGAAACTTGGTTATCCTCATGTTATCAAGAGAACACATACTTACTACCAAAGTTCTTTGAGTCCTAAACAGAGGAAACAACTATCGATCAATTCTCACAAAGTATCACAAAAGCGTAACATTTCACAGGCTAAAAGGCCTAAAGTCTGAGAGTCACCTTCAGCATGCTTTTAACCGGAATCGTAATAAGTTCATCGAATCTCACGGGCAGTCACTATTACCAGCGCCAATGGAAACGCGAGTCATCAATTTTGCATGGCACAATCGAAACATGGCATAAAAATCTTTCAAGTTATAAAATTTGCCGATTGTTACAGTCTGTACCAACTCTTAATACAACAAAGTCAGTATCCACGGATAAGAATTAACCTAATGAAGTACATGGGAGCGATAAGATCAGGGCCCTATAAAGGGCATAAATTACAAACTTTGGCTTTGAATTTATAGAAATTTCAAGTAATTCTACTCTATTTAGACTAATGATGACATATTCAATATAACACAACCAGATTTACATTCTAGATAAATAAATAAATAATTTTTAAAAAATATTATTGAATGCTACATGTACTAATCCATCGAAATATAAATGTATCTGATTTCTGTTTTTCAAATGTTAAATAATTGTTTAAATATAAATGGTTTGATGAAGATGGTGTATCATAATGTGTGTGTGTGGGGGGGGGGGGGGGAGGGGGGGAGGGGGGTCTTCAAAATTGGGTTTTTGTATTTTTGTATTTGTTAGCATATTCAAGTGACCTCAAGGGGGGGGGGGTACTTAATTGCTATTGTCATTATATATTATTTCTTTCCACAAAAATGAAGAAGAACTTCACATGGTTTCTTCTTTTAAAAAAAATGCCAATATTATTCGCGAAGAACTTTAAAGGATGACTGCACTTAAGGACATGCGAAATTTGCGACAGAATAAACTTTCAAAACAAGCATTATTTTATCTTTTCATTGCAACAATGATCAACATCCAATCTACAACTTTATGTAATTACGTTTAATAAAAGTGTGTATTTACGAAGTTCGAATCTGTTTTCAAAGGCAGTGGTCTTCACAATTTCTTGAATCTCCGTTCGATAATGAGGACGCCCACTTTTTTACTGACTGTATACATAGTGAGTGCATGTTTGTCTATTGTTCTACGTTTAACAGTAGTTGTATATTTGCATAAATAATAATGTGTCAAAAGGAGATTGATAGACAAACATGCGCTCATGGCTAAAAAGAGAAAAAAAACTGCTTCTTACATTCGCTCTCTGTGTTGTAACCAAGGATTGTGACATGTTGAATATTATAATTCACCACGTGATTTCTTAACTCAGGTAACTTTGTGAATACTAAATTCCGTCACGTGACTTTAAGGTAGCATGTTTTGTACTAACTAGGGCATTGTGTTCGAACACGTTAAGTCATCTGGCATTGATATAAAATCTGCTTTCATTACATTGACATGCTCATATTGTGAATTTCGTTTTCAAACCTTTGTCAGAAGTGTTTATGCCATACAGAATGGAGAGGGAGATTGGAAAGAGTGATCACGTTCTTTTTACCAAACATGTCATTGTTATTTATCAAGTCTAATTTTAGACCCATTCTTACAATGTTAGCTTCACCTCTTATGCATATCTAATGTTCAATCAAGGGCAGGTAAGTGTGAATTCACTATATCTGGAAAGCAGTAAGGACAAAAAACATTGAATCATTTTATTGTATCACAGTCTAAAATGATTTTAAGATTTAAAATTGGTTCCAAATTGAAAGGATTTTTTCCTAAACATACAAAAGTGAAATAAGGTTTAGATATAAAAGCAACAGAAGCAACCGAAAAAGACCCCAAAACAGGCGTTAAGAGCAGTCATCCTTTACAAAGGTGAACAAAGTGTTTTTAACAATTATTATTTATTTTTATGACCGCTGAACATATATAGGTGTTGTATATGTAATCAGATCTAGCAAAATGAAGACAACGATAATCCTTCGAAGTGTCAGTGAAATTATTTTATATTTTTAAATAATTTTATTTTCCTCGGTATTGATGCAATAGTTATCTTACAATATTTTTGATCACATGCATTTGTGATTATTTAAGTGCCTCTATATTGTTTTGAAAAATGGTTAGTCTCTAGTTAATAAATTACCCATGATTGTTTCGGTATAATAAAACAGTTATGGAATGGGTACTCGGGAAATATCAAATTTATGGTTCTCCTCGGCGGGAAACTATTTCCCTCGGCGGCTTCGCCGCCTCGGAAAATAGTTTCCTCCCTTGGGGAACCATGATATTTCCCTCATACCCATTCCATAACTGTATAATACAACATTGGAGTACAAACCTTGATTAACTTTCAATGTATTTATGTGAACAAAAATTAAGTAATTTTTTAATCTATCCAACAAAAATTGTCCAGCGGTTTTCAAAATGCTGAATGTCTGCTTCAAAAATCTATCCTCATTAAACCTCCAGAGATTATGATAAATCATGATTTTCACGCCATTGTGCCGATGCAATTTCTGATATTTCACCGAAATTAACTTTTGAACAGATACTTGCAATCATCATAAAAAAGCGAAGCATTAAGTATTTGTCTCTTGTTTTTTGTTCACGCGAGGGTAATCACAAACACATTAAACTATCCATCATAGTTATAATTATTTCCATTAATTCTCTCAGCAAATTTAGCTAAAGGGAATCCATTTCAAAGCAAACAAGTTTTTTAAACATTCTGGTTAAATTACTCACTAGAGAGAACTCAATAACTACATTCAGTAAATATTTGAGTTTAAACTACTCACCAAATGGTATTCGGTTACCAAATAACGTTGTTCCATCAGCTGCAAAAATAAAGAGTAAACATTTATTATGCAACAAAGCAAAAATAAATACACTCCTGTATTCCAATATCAGATGATATTGAACATAATTGATAACAGGAAGGAAATTTCAAATATTATCATTGTGTCTGGAATTGATTACAGAATGGACAATAATCGATACCTGTCAAATTAAAACAAAGGACATGATGGCATCATTATCATTACTCATGTCTCCGATGACTATATAAGTATGATCCTGGCTTAACCGAAATTTCCGAGTTGGATGATTAGGATGAATATTCAAATGTCATGTCGATAAACAATCTATTAGAGTAACCACATGCTACATAGTTATTGGAGAGAAAATGTTTCAAAAGTTACAGATGCCTCCAAAACCTCGCGGATATTAATCAAACAACACAAGTTAATCCAGTTTAGACCTTAAGGACATACGCAACGTAGTTTGAACTTTATTGTCTTTTTCCCTGGAGTTGAAGAGTTCCAATACTTAAAGGAATTGTGTGATACATTTGTATGTCTACATGTATATATGCTGTTGTACACTTCTTCTAAAACAAGTTTGGATAAACAAAACATCTAGAATATGTGTTTAGTAATATTTGTGTATTTTTCTTTGCATTATACAAGAATTTTCATGAATTGATATCTTTTCAAAACCCCTGGTAATGCATGCTGATTTTTTGTCGACGAACATCTGATGGCACTATAATCTTAAATTAAGAATATCTTGAAAAATTATCAGTAGGTAAGGTACGTTGCGTATGTCCTTAATCGTTATTATGGACCTGCGTGAAAAAAAAAATGATACGATTTGGCGAGGACTCTGTAATCATTATCATATACGTACACCTTGGCTCCTTAAATGTCAGAGAAGACAGGACAATTAAGGAAATGTCTTTCAAGATATGGCGACTTGGCCCAGCTTGACTCCTGGCCCCGGGGCCATAAAACTTAGACGAGCTCACTTTTGATCTCAGTCTCACTTTTCCACTATAAATTCTTTTTGTAAAAGTGAGACTAAGATCAAAAGTAAGATTGGCAAAGTTGTATGGCCCCAGGAGCCTGGACTCAGGGGTCTTTTTTTAATTCTTTTTGGGGAACTTTTTGAAGAGGGTTACTGCTGATTTTGATAATACAAAAAAGCTGCCTACAAATATGCAATTTCATTACAAATTAGCCCTATCCTGAGACATTAACCGTGGACCGGGGTCAATCAAATTACAGAGAGATGGCTTAGTCTTAATTATAATCAATGCAAATTTTGGTTAGATGTCCATGAGTAAAGAAAGATTTTTAAAGGTGTAATGTTTTCCAGAATACTACCAATATAGTCACAACCTGGAGCCTGAACAACGGGTTCGGCAGCCAAAACTTTCACAATACATATATTTGTAAAAGACAGAGTGAATATTATAACTATGGAAATAGTTTGCCTGCTAACTGACCATGAGTAAGATGAAGTGTATGTTCAATATACAGTATGACCGACTTAACCCCACGATAGATCCTAGACCATGGACAAAGGGGCCATAAATTTCATTATTTTGGTATGTTGAGAACTCATTAAAATAATGCATAATACTTGGCTGCTAGATATCCATAAGAAGATTTTAAAAGAGGCGATGTATTTCAGTGTATGACAAACTTATCGCCATATTTGGGCTTAAACATTATACTCAGGAGACTCGATTTTTACAAATTTATTGAGGTTTACTACTTACTTAATCATACAACAGTTTATCAGCTACATATAGAAGTCCATGAATAAAGGAGAAGATTTTTAACACTTACAATATATGACCAACTTAGCTCCATTCTTGAACCTGGTTGTGATTTTTACATTTTTGATAAAAGGTTAAGTGGTGATTATATCAAAGAAGTAGTTTGCCTGCATATTGCCAATGGGTAGACAAGAAAAAAATGTAATGTATTTTTAAGTTTATGACCACCTAAGCACCGCCTCAAAAGGCCTTAACTATGGGACAGGGGTCATGATCTTCAAGTTTTGTAAAAGGCTGAGTACTCATTAAAACCATGCAAACAATTTTCCTGCCAGATGTCCTCGACAAAGAAGAAGATTTTATCAGATTTAATGCAAGTGGCCAAATGAGCCCTACCATGGGCCTTAACCAGAGATCCATGGGATTTAAAGTTTACAACTTTGGTAAAGCGTTGAGTACTAATAATAATTAGGCGAACAGGTTTTCTACTAGAATAAAGAGGATTTCATAAGATGCACACAAAACATTTTCCAATATTTGACCAACTTAGTCCCACCCTGGATGTTGAACTCTGAACCCGAGGGGCATGAATTACACAATTTTGGTGAAAGTATTATTTCTTATTGTAACCATATGCCAACAGTTTGTCTGCGTGATGTTCAAAAGTAAAGAAGATATTTGAAGATTGGATTCATTTTGATTGTTTTCGCCATGCCCATCAGAACAAAAGGAGGCAAGAACCATGAAATTCACAATTTTTGTTCCCCTACACCCATAAAAACTTTATACTGGAGTTAGTTGAAAATTGGTTAAAGCGTTCTATCGACGAAGCTTCAAATGTTGAAATTTAACGCATGACGGACGACTATGTGTGAAAACAGTAAGCAGTAGGTCGCCAGAGTGAAAGTCAAATGAACTAAGATTGTTAAGATTTCCACAGAGACTTTATAATCATACGATAGTTATGGGTAACTGTTCTATTTATTTATTTATTTTGGAGGGGGGGGGAGGTATTGGAAAAGATCACTGTATATGACATACTTAGCCCCACCCTGGGGCATGGACATGGGCCATGATTGACCTCTGGACCCGAGGATCCATGAATTTAGCAATTTTATTTGGTGGTGTAGGGCTTATGATAATCATGGAAATAGGTTGACTGCTTAATGTCCATAAGCAAAAAAGAATATCTTATAGATGAATTGTTTTTTTTTAAGTAAACGACTTTAAGTTGCTTAATCCCTTCTAAGGGCTAGAACATTGGACCCAAGAACCATGAATTTTACAGTTTTGGTATAAGGGGAAACACTTGTTGTAAACGTTTGAACAGTTTGACTGGTAAATGTCCTTGAGTAAAGGATAAAGGACAAGACTGTCAAAGTTTTAATATATTTTCAATTTATGATCAAATTAGTCCCGTCCAGTAGTCTGAACAATGTATCCAGGGGCCGAGAATTTCACAATTTTGATAAAGGGTAAGTTTCGAACATAGTTTGCTTAATGTTCCAGGATATGAAAGGAAGATTTTTAAAGATAAAAAATATTATTAATATTTTATATATGTGATCAAATAAACACCATCCTAGTTCCTTAACTAGGGATCCAGGGCCCACTTGTGGTGAAAGGTTGAGTTCTCATTATAATCATGTAAACAGTTTGCCTGCTAGATTTCTTTGAACAAAGATATTATCATTAAAAATATAATGTAATTATCAAGATATGACAAACTTGTCCCCCCTGAACCCTGAAAAGAGAGGGTATGAATTTCACAATTTCGTTGAGGGGATCATTACTTGATATAATCATGTCAATAGTGTGATTGCTTGACGTTTAGGAATAAAGAAGATTTTTGAGAATTGTATTGGCTTTGGCAATGCGCCTCATGCCTCAGTGAGACAGGGACTATGAATTTCACAAATTGTGTTCCCTTTTGACCATAGATGATATAAAAATTGGTCTAAGAGAAGAAGCCGAAAGTATTTAAATGTTAAAGGACGGCTGATGACGGACGACACACAACGCGTGATATGAACGAAATACATTATTTATATATCACCTTATTGACTTGGATTGATTGATTGTATGTTGTTTTACGTCCCGTTGGGGAATTTATCACTCATACAGAGACGTCACCATATACCGGTAAAGGTCTTCAAATTTAGACCTTTACTCGGCACTCAGGGCCATTGAGCAGTGAGGGTTTTTTATCGTGCCAACGCCCACGTACCGTGACACGGGGCCTCGGTTTTTAAGGTCTCATCCGAAGGACTCGCAACTTTCACTTCAAAGTGCCGAGCGCCCAGCGAAGGAACAGTTGCTACCTATATTTTTATCGACCTAGATCAGTCGCGACCGTGATTCGAACATACGACCTTCCGATCACGGAGCGAGCGCTCTACCGACTGGGCTACCGTGACGGTCTTATTAACTTGGATGATCTTTTAAAAACAATCCTATTGTTATTGGACACAATTTATGGTATAGAAAATCATGCTTGTTTTAATTTACTGTCAGATATCTGAAAAATAACCTTGTTATTTAGTGTTTACATGTAATTGTATATTCATGTATATACATGTACATGTACATCAAAACATTCATATGATTCTCATCTAGACGAAGCGATCTAAAGACATTTTAAAATTGGGCCTTAAATCACATTATTTTTAAGTGGCAAAATTTAAATCTTTGTATCCCACAATATGTTGATGTTGGGAAAACATGTTATACACATGACACAGAATGCCACAACAGGCAATAAAAATTTGCCTTTAACTAGAATCATACTCAATGACTTCCTCTGTTTGGATGAACATATCTACTTCAATGTTTACGAGTAACCCTTTGAACTTTTGTCAATCCTTCCAGTAACACGAATCTCTAGTTTTGTAGTTTTTAAATTTACTGGACAAGGATAAATACAACAAGAAATCCATGAGCTTTGACAAATTTTGTCCGAGCACTATGAGTAAGGTGTTAAGTCTCTAAGACATAAACTACAATATTGTTGTTAATTAGTCTTAATAACAAGTGTAACATGTGAATATTGCAAATTAAAGTTAAAAACAAATACATGTATTTGTATACATATATGTAAATAATGAGAGTTGTATATATATTTTTGATAACTTTGATTTTGACCCTGTCTTAGTGAGTTTTCGTCTAAATCAAACAATACAACATAAATAATATAAATAGTATTCTCTACTACAAAGTTATAAACAGCAAAAAACATTTTTTTAATTTACCATTTTAATGAAATCTGTATTGTGCAATGACCTTTAAACATGGCTGTAGAACCTTTGGAAGATACATTCAAACATATTAATGAAATTATTTAAACATTACATGTATTTAAATTGTAATTTAATCCTAAACCTTTATTTCAGCTTCTTTTGCACACTAAGTGTTGCCAATCTTTTTTAAACATATTTTTCCATGCACCTGTCCTACCTGGGTAACTTGTTTTCCTCATCCAGTGTGCATGTAATAACAAACCCACAGAGGATACTGAATTGGTGATTACTAAGCAAATCGATTCCCTGCTAGATGTCAAGATGAAAAGACTTACGAAAATAGAATAATTCATTTTTTAAATATATTCGCAAATAACTTTTGAGTAAGATCCCTTAACCCAAGAGTTCATAGAATTTCAGTTTTTTTGTGAGGACTGATATTTTCATTGTTACCGTGTATTCCTGCTAAATGTATATGCAGAAGGAAAGGCAAATGTATTCAATTCTCAGCATATTACGAATTAACTTAGCCCCTATTTGAGGTCTGAATGCTGAAGTCAGGAGTTATGAATCATACAATTTTGGTTACGGTCCGGTTGCTCACATAATCGTGCAACAAGTTGGCTTGCTAAATATCGAGGAGTAAAGAAGATGATTATATACAAAACTTCAAAGTAAATGAAATGCTTAAAGATGTATGTAAACTCTAAATCGGCCACTTCACAACTTCAAAGAGAGAGAGATGGGGGTGAATCTCATGTTGTTTTTGGAACAACTGCACATTATACTTGAGGAAAATTCGATCATATAATATCCTAAAAATCTTGGATACAACTAGCTATCAAAACAATAACACATATTTATGAAAACTTTTCTTTGAAATAATTAAGAACTTTTTGAAATTATAACTTTTTCAAGGCCCATTTTGTATAAAATGGAAGATTTCTAACAGATTCAATTGAACCACACTCATAATATTTAAATAGGTTCATTATCCAGTATTCAATGAATTAAGTTAACAATTATACTATACACATTCAATCAACCTAATTATATCCTAGGAATACGGTAATTTATCCACTTCAAATGTCTGCCACAATCACCATTATTGGCGCTATTATAATGCATCGCTTATAAAAATCAATCTTTAAACGCAACATAAATCGAGTAATTTTTAAATTATGTTGTCATAAAAAAAATGATATTCTGTTCCGCACATAAAAAGCAGTTTGTTATTCAAGTCTATAATGATTTTTAATACGTACCATATATTATTGAAACAATCAGGATTCGTCAACCCGGCGTTACAAAACATCGCATTCTGTTTATAATTCAGTCACAGTGATGAAGCAATGTTAAAGTTGTTTTCAGTAAAACAGGAAATATGAGTAAACCTCTTTACATTCCTGAGTGAATTGAATTGTGTCTAAGTTGACCCAACAACTTCTGTTATAACCCCTCTTGTAACTGAGACCAAACGTGTCAAGAATTACCAAACTCTTGGGAATCTCAATGCTATAGTTGATGTTTATCTGACACATGCAGATGCCTACAAGTTCAAGACGAGTTATGACGAGTCCTTCAATTCACGAGTATTTCCTTTGAAGATTATTTTGAATATGTCTCTCACAAAACTTTCAAACTTCCTTCTTTGATAAAATTGCAATAATTTCCCATCTATCCATAAAGCCAGAGTGAGAGGATGATAGGACATTTTTCTACTTGCATTAATTTTTATAAATCTGAATTTTAACTGTAACTTACTGTCACGAGCGCAAAGTCATGACATGAGGGCCTATTTATAAGTGGATGAAAATGTATAGTCATTAGTATGTAAAAACAGGAGGTCCATGGTCCGTAACTGTTAATAATAAAGCAATTTTAGTTGTGAAACCACATTATCATGATCATATATGTGTCCTTATGTCTTTTCTACCCAGTCGTAATAAAATTTCAAATCCTTTAGGCCTTGTGCATCGCCATTTGGCCTAAAGACCAAAGTTTCAAACGTTTTTCACCATATGACAATATTTTCAGAATAATTTAACAATTTTGACCCTTCATTTGCTTTAAAAAATAAATAAGTAAAAACTATACTAAGCTGAAAACTCAGGAAATATCTTTAAAACCTTCTTTTGAATAATAGCAGTGTCATGATTTCACTGTAGTCATTTTAATATGCAAGCATTCTTAGGTTGTGAAGATTTTAGTTTGTTGAAATAACGGCCCCCGGGAGTAGGGCGAGGCCAGATGTTTTACATGGAAATATACAGTGAAAATCGCTAGAAATCTGTTGAAGAAAAGACGGTTCATTATTAGTCATATTAATATGCAATAAAATAGTCATATCACCAAATTTTATATTTTGATAAAGAATTGTGAGAAGACAGTAGGAACAAATCTTTTCAAGAGTAGCAGAGTCCTCCTAAATCATATTATGCATTCTAAAGTTGTGTGGAATCTTTTTTTTTTTTTTCAGATTACGGACTTGGGGTTAGGCTTGGGCTAACTCGGAGATCAAAATTACATCATAAATTTGTGAAGGAAAAAGATCTTTAGAATATCTTCTCCAGAACAGCAGATTCGTGTTAGTCATATTGATATTAAAGCATCCCATGCTAGTGTGGATTCAAGTTCGGTAAAATCATTACCCCTTGAAGAATATGGAATCAAGATTTTTCCTGGCAATAAGAGGGTAAAGCATTTCAAAATCGTTTTCGTAAGGACAGTGGGGCCAAGATGAATCATGGGAGCATTGACCTCTTGTTTCAATCTCCATAAAATGTATTAAGACAGTAATCCCTTTAATTTGATGCTTAAGTGTATAAAAAATGATAACTTCATATGAATATTTTAAAATTTGTAACCCTGCAGTACTGAAAAAATTATTTTAAAGATTTTTCATATATACATACATTTGAATCTCTCTTGTGGCGTGGGCCGAAGGCTGAACCATCTTGAAACTGCTTAACGTGATTTTGACAATTTTTTAGAAGAAGAAATGTTTTATACATTTCAGTGTAGAAATTGATTATGGCTACCACGATTTTACAATTTTTTCGCCTTCTACCAAATATGCTTACCAACAATGGTCACAATTGATTGGGCAGTTTCTGAACATGTTCAAAATTTTACGACCAAGCTTAACGAACGAGAAACACGAAGTCTAAAAAACAGAATCAAATGTACCTCTGTGACTTTAGAAAGCTTTGTGACAAACAGGATCTTCTCCTATTTCTCGTTACTCACTGTGAAAAAAAAAATATCTAAGGTCATCTTTAAATAATTGTTTGTTTGCCCTCTCCCGAACGACTGGCTGGAATTTATATATTTAGATTCATTTGTACATACTACATCAAATCAATTTTGTACATGCATAACCTATGTAAGATAATCATATTGACCTTTGGTTCCAGTGTAGTTTAATTTTTTAACATTATTTTGTGTAATTAATTGTTATAAAGGAGAGGACGTTCTAAATTTTAAGAACTTGTGTCCGATCCTTTTGTTGTAATATCTAAACAATAAAATATGTTCAAATCAAATCAACGACTGGCTAAAGATGACCTCCAGGAATTAAGATATTCTTTTTTCTTTTCATTTCTCAATTTTACCATTCCTTCAACATATATGTTGAAATTTTCTGAGAAAAAAAGATTTTCCCACCTACATATATACCTACTGACCCAACTTTTTACCCTGAGTCAGGAGAGGGCAAGCAAACATTATTTAAAAGATGGCTTAACTCTTTATCACACACCCTATGGCTTAAAAATAATAGTGAATTTTACTGATGCTCATAATCTGTTTAAAATAAATCAAGATAGATCAATCCGTGCAAAATATCATTGTATTCCCTCTCACGGTCCAAAAGTTAAATTCGTATCTACACTTTTTAAATTTTGCATAGGTACAGTGTATTAACCCGTGTGCTTAGAATATTTCACAAATATGCTGCATCCCTGTTTTTTTCTGCACAGACATCATATGTTCAATACCTGCCCTCCTCCTTTCGTTTCAACAAAAAAGTAAAAACTTTATCAGTAGCAAAACAGGACTCTGAACATGAAATATCACAAATTTTAATATCTTCTCGTATTTTTTTCTCGAAAATGACAGAAAAATGTTGAATTTAATACTTTCTCAACGCCCTTTACCAGGCTCAATTCTCTCTCCCGGTGGCGCGTCAAACCTAACACGTACAGTGTGTAACAAAGCTTTGCCAAGTGCCAGGCTTTAGAAGTCACGGGTCCTTCGGATGAGACCTTAAAAACTGATGTCCCATGTCACGGTAGGCGTTGGCACGATAAAAAGCCCTCACTGCTCAATGGCCCTGAGTGCCGAGTGAAGGTCTAAAGTTGAAGCCCTCCACCAGTTTATACATGTAGTGAGGTCTCATATATGTGAAAAATTCTCGCAAGGAACTGTCATGTTGTAAATTTTGTATTTATTTCCACCCGGTAAATTCAAAATTTATAACATGACAAAACCGTTACAACAACAAACAATCAATCTACATACAATCATGTAGCTTTTAAACGAGTCAGGAACTATGAGCGTTTCACAGAATAATATCAGGTGTGGATACTTGAAAACTCTAAGGGACTATTAGAAAATTTGAAATCACAAAATTTTACTAAAATCAGTAACATAAAAACCTACGACTTTTCAACCTTTATACAACAATTCCCCATGATAAACAAGCATTCTGAGAGTATTGCATTAGCAATACAAGTCCCCTGCAAGTGTAATCTGGTTCCCGTTAAAATAAAAAAAATGTCATATTTCCGTCAAAAATCAATGAAGCGGAACGAAATGCAAACTCGATCTATAACTCATCAAGGTAAAGTCACATATCAAAAATCAGCTCAATATCTGCAAGCGTTTAGAAAAAAATTGCGGAAAACCCTGAAAAATTGAAAAGGTCGTAATTCCGTCAAAAATCATTGAAGCGAAACGGAATGCAAAGCTGACCTGTAACTCATCAAGATAACTCACATACCAAAAATCAGCTCAATATCTACAACCATTTAGAAAAAAAAGTGCTGAAAACCAAGTGGGATAGACTGACAGACAGACAGAGGACAGCTAGACGGACAGACAGACGGACGGACGGACAGACTCAGATGAAACTTATAGTCCCCTCCGGTTTCACTAATTAAAGTCCAGGCTTTTCGAATGATAGACAGCTGCTTTTCCAATAAAAATGGAACTCGTACTTTACATGCCTTGTCAATGGTCATCTGCAAGATTATTTTGCATTAAAACATTCTGATTGTATACACAAGAAGAACTCCGAAGATGAAATTAAAAAGATGCTTGAGTTTCTGATTGACAATATCTAGTATGTAGCTTAAGTCTTCGAAGCAATCCGTTGGTATTCCCATAGGTCCTAATTGCGCCCCGTTATTAGCAGACTTATTTTTATTAATATTGAGCAGAATTTATTCAACAAATTCTACATGAAAATAAGCAGTTTCTTGCTGTGTCCTTCAAACTGACATTTAGATACATGTACATGTATATCGACGACGGTTTTTTTTTTAATTAATAATATGCATTTTTATTCCTATGCTGATTCGATATAATCATCCCTTTGAACTCGAAATAGAAGACACCCAAGCGTCTGACACTCCTCTTCATATCTGGATATTTTAATAGAGAAAGACATTAAGGGCACATTAAATATTAACGTGATGACTTCAAATTTTCTATCGCCAACATTCCTTATCCATGTAGCAATATACATTTATCACTTGCATATGGAATTTATGTCTCTCAGTTTCTTGGATACGTAAGAGCATGTTCTAAGTACGTACAATTTCTAAAACGAGGAAAGCTATTGATAAGTAATTGAGGATAGCAACTGTCCCATTTAAGTCAACATTTCGGAGATTCTATGGTCGATACAATGACATTGCAAGCTAATACAATCTATCTGTAAGTCGAATGTTGACTGACGTTTTTCATACAAATTGTTAGGCCATTATTTTCACACTGAATACATGTATATTGTCTATAAAAAAAATTTCCGTTTACCGGGTGTGACCGGTGGACTGATGATACTTACTCCTCCATAGCACCTGATCCCACCTCTGATATCTTTAGAGGTCCGTGCTTGCTTTGCTTCAGATTTTTTTTTTCCAATAGACTTTTGAGCTTGATTACTGTTCTATATACGAATATTTCATGAAACTGATAAAGAGAAAATAGGATTTAAGCAGTGTCGTAAATAATGTTCCGTCAGTGCCGTCAACACCAGTAAAAAAATTGTGATATTACATTTGGTCAATTTTCTTTTTACATATGTTACTTGTATATTGGTCTGCACATGGAATCAGCTAAAATACAGATGCTAGTATTTAAAAACACTCTACATAATTGG